GCAGCAACCGTGGGGACTTGAGCTTTTGCTGGATGCTGGACCCCTAACCAGGGATGCATTAGGATAGGCAGAAGATGGAGCCTAGTGTGCTGGGGGTGAGGGGCTCCAGTTGGGGAACCCAAGATGCCTCACTGAGGCAAGAGCAGGGGAGAGGCGAGTCACAGGTAATGCCAACCATACGCAAGGTTGAGTCAGTGGTCCTAAATGGTTCTCTAATGGGTGATGTGTTGGTAAGGGGCAGGGAGGAATGGGATAGAGAATAAAATAGTAGAATTAAAATGAATCAAATAAAACTATAGACACTGACCTAGATGAAAAATATGTAAAAAGTAACAAAGTAAGAAGAAACCATTTTTTTAAATCTTGTCTTTGTAAAAGTAATAAATGAATTATTTACTTTTTTGGCCTGATTGCCTTGGCCAACGAAAAATGGCTATGCATTCTACTGAATAAGTATCAATTTAACATTTTATTTGATTCCAACAGTAGCATCTTGGTATATGCTCAACCCTTAGGGTTTGTTTGCTGAATTAGCACAACTCTCTGCTCACAACTTTTAAAATAGAAAAATCTGCTTTGGGTTCTTCTTGTTACTGTTCTGAACAGAGACTATGAACCTTGTGTATCTGCTGTGGGGAAGAGGCAGCAGAATGCAAAGGGGCCTCAAATTAGACAGACCTGAGTTCAAATTCCAGCTCAGCTTTTTATTAACTGTGAAAATTTGGAGAAGTTATTTAACCTCTCCGAGCCACAGTTTCTTTTTCTCTTGTGAGGGTGAAGAGAGCTGTAATGGCTGCCTCGCGCCCTTGTGTAATAACATTTCAAAACCATGCTTTTCTTCCACTTTAAGAAATGCTCCAGCTCTAGACTAACTATAATCTTTAATCTTTATTGTAATATCTCTTTTACTTTATCTGTGATTACAGTGCAGTTCCCAAAGCCCAATATCCTTCATTGCTGGGACCAGAAGAAGAATATAAAATGGAATTAAAGTCAAGATTCTGTTCCCTCTCATTGAACTGTAATAAAGTAATATTACAAAGACTGAATATATCCCCAAAGTTACCAGTATCTGTCAAAAGAAATAGCATTGAATTCTTTCTTTACCTTAAAGAAAAACCATTGTGGGTGCTGCAGACACCAAAGACAAAGAGGATTTAAGCAGAACTTAAACTTAGATAAATATT